TTGTAGAACTAGAGACGACAGTATGACATTCTTGAAGCAATCAGAAAATAAGAAATCTTAAAAATCGATTGCCCAACAATCACCAAGTCAAACATAAAAGAGGCCCACCTTGGGCCCAAGAGGGAGGTAGCATTTCACACGTTAACCTAGCTAATGTATTGAACAGAATCCAAATATTCAAGTATGACTAACCAAGTAGCTTTTACATATAGTAGCATGATGGTGAAACTCTTGACAAAACAATCTCTTGGCACAATCGCTGCATGTCAAATTCCATAACTAAATGAAGTTATGTGCATAATAAGAACTTTCCTCTCCTCTTCCAGGAGATATCATGATACTTTAAATGCACAACATAGAAAATGATGTGTATTGTCTTTACTATCAATTATTTGATAGAGGCTCGATTCATCTATTGTTTAAACTTGAGCCTGTCAGCACTGAAGGCCCCAATATGATATGATGGAAAATCAATCACAATGTCAATCAATTTATTCCAACAAAACAAAAAAAGAAAGGTCCCAAAGCTCCACTTGAGAAAGTTAGATATAATTAATATGAAACACACACATAAGATTTAGTATTATATATTGCACAAGCAATATCCTATTATTAGAGATAGCTGCATACTAATAATTTTTTTTTAAGAAAAAAAATAAACCTTAAGAGAAACAGGCGAATTCAGGAGGTTTACTGACCTTTCAAACGACTAATTAGGAAAAGGAACTCAAATTGCACAAACTCTAAATTGGACATTCTATTGCAAAATCTAACAAACCATTTCCAAAACAAGGAAGGGGATCAAGTAGCAACTAATGTCATATCCAAGGCAAAAAAAAAAAAAAAAAGAAAAGAAAATGAATATTACCTTCCCCTGGAAGCCGCTTCCTCCAGATCCTCACGAGACGCCGGGAAAAGCTCGATGTAGCGGCTCCCGAGTGTCCTCCTGTCCTTGGCCATGACAGCCTCCCTCGACTCCTCCGCGCTCCCAAACTCCACAATAGCCTCCCCAGCCGGTCTCCCATCCCCATTCCCCAACAGGTGAATCCTCCCTTCCGTGAGCCCGAAGCCCTCAAAGAAGCCCACCACATCCTTCCTTGTTGCTGAGTACGGAAGCCCTCTCATTCTCACCATTCCCCCGAACTCCAACAGGTCTCCCCTCTCCCTCTCCCTATCCCTCTCCCTCTCTCTCTCATTCTCATCCTCCCGCGTGCGGGCCCCACGACGGGGCGACCCGCCTCGAGCGTCCGCTTCGTACACCTCATTTGCGACAGCCCGGTAGTACTCGTCACGGCGGCTGCGGAAGACCTCGACGTACCTGCG